AAATGTAAATTCTTTTATTATTATGAGCAATCATATATCACTGCATTCGAAAAACAATTATTATCATCGGTCAGTGGAGTACAGCGATGTGTTTATGTATCTTATGTAATAACAAAAAAAAAAAAATTATCTACGCATTTAAAAAAGTTTTAATATAGTTGGAACCTCGTCATTATTTTAATCTTGTACTAAAATATTAAAGCTTTGTTAACCAAAACTTCGAATTACATTTAGAAAGCTAAAAATTATCTCGTAATAAAATTAAATAATTCACCATAATTCAAATTTTAAATATTCATAAAAATACACCGCTCTTCAAGATTCTTGAAATATTTGTAATTTAATTAAAATAAGATAGACATAATCTTCTACTAAAAGTTTTGAAAATAAAAAATTAATTTATTTTACCAAATTAAATACAAATGACAAATATTTTGAAAATGAAAAATACTTTTTTTAGAGTAATAATAATGTGAGATTTTTATTCAATGGGTTTATTATTTGCAATTTCGTTAAGTATTTTTTATTATTTCTATCATTAATCAAATGAAATCTATTGTTATTGTTTTAAAAATAAAATATTAATAATTATGAAATTCTAACACTGTCAGTTATTCGTATTCAAGAGTCCTATGCGATTATAGAGATTGCTAAAAATAATTATGTAAAGTATAAAATGTCAGTGAAGTTCTTCAAACGTTTAGTTACTTTATTCGTCTAAATTGTAATAAAAAACTTTTTAAAGCTATGTGATAATTCATATACATTTTCCCATTGAACATTTAATTACATTTTTTTATGTTTATGATTTTATCATCTCATGCCCGTAACACTAAATTATTTCTAATTAGGATTTATTGCTGTAAATCTTATATGCAATAATTACGTTATCAAAATTTTTATTTTAAATGGAATAAATTATTTTTATAAATTGTATATAATATTGTTACAAATGGTACTTGGCTCTTATTATCAGAGGGAGGAGCAAAAATTATTCACAATTTACTGACCAATTTAAAAATCTACTTACATTCAACTTATGTATATATTATTCCAAGGGCGCCATTGGGGGGGGGAGCAGGGTGTACACTCGCACACCCTGAATTTTTTTCATCTTTAATTATTAGCCTAGGCATCACTGATACATGGCCTTGCCACTTTGGCATTCAGTTTTCCAATCTTTAATATTGTGCATGTACCGCGGCTGATCAGTAATCACTGCTAATCATAATTTTGGCCTGGTGGTGGTAAAAAATTGGCCTCTTTAATTGCTTGCACACCCTTAAAAAAAACTGAAATAGCGTCCTTGTATTATTCTTTTTAACTTACTATGTGTATAACTGATAAGACGATAAGTATATCAATTAATAACAAAGTAATATGTTATAATATGTTTTAAAAGCATTGATTAAATATACTACATTGTATTTTTAATCAATGTACATATACATTAATGCATTAGTTTATATTAATTTATGATAATATTGTCAATATTGATAATGTTGATCTAACTTAACATGGTGGATAATTTTCTTATATAAATTGTACAAACGTAATTTTAACATAAATATTTTATAAAAATTAAAAATTGTTTTAATAATATTTAATTTAGGAGGGAGGTAAAATGATAAGTTTGCTCCCTTAATATTTTTTCTAGATGGGCAACTACAACCTCGTGCCCCCTCCAAATGCTGCCAATGAATATTGTATTATAATACAAATTATCCAGTATTGGTTTAATAATACACTCTAAGCAATTCATTTTGTGATCTAACTTATAATTATTAGGCTAATTGCTTTCTAAAATATAACTATTGACAATTTTATTTACGAATTATTAATGTTACAAGAGTTTCCTCTTTGATACAAAACCTAACAAAGATAATTATATTTTAGATTACATAGGTATTTGAAATTAAAAGTTTGTTTTTATGCTAATAAATATTTATTAAAAATAAAATATTTTTTTATAAATATATGTACCTATATACATGAATATTTCATAAATTTCGTACATACATTTATCGCACTCGTACATACTTCATCGTTTTATAACCTCCCAATATGTGTATGGCAATAATAAACCCGTCGTTATGATATTATTCGTACGGTACTACATAATTCTCTGTCATAAACTTTGAGTATCAAGTATTGAGCCTATACAAAACTGCTACAAATGTACACGCAGTAATATTCGTTATCGGTTTACCTGTACTGTACTTTTTTTTTTGCGTTAATGTCTGCATGTGTATAAACTCAATATTAATGTGTAATACATAAATTTGTTTTTTTTTTTTAATATCATTTTAATGGATTCGGTGTACACTTGAAATGTTGCTGATATAACCACGATTTCATTGGTTGATGATGTTGAAACGCATCTACGTGATTATATTTATTCGTTTCACGCGTACGCAATCGATCAATTCAGGTTATTGTTTGCGTCCACATATCATGTATCACTAGTAAAACCGTAAGGTAGATATCACCTTTTCGATCTAATTTCATTCTTATTATTGTTTGATATGTGCGCAATATAAATATTATTGGTTATGTTAGCAACAACGTTAGGCACAAACAATAGTTGTTAAAATAATAATTCATCTCGACTGTTACTTGAACGCTACGACAAAATCACAATACCAACTTCGTATAGGTGTTTATTTGCCCAAAAAACAAACTTTCCAAAACATTCACTTTTTGGCGTCCCAAACTCATTGTCTTATTATTGTTATCATTATTATCGATGTTTACATTTTAATTATAAAGCCTTTTATGTAGAGTATTTTATTATTAATTAGTCCAACACCCAAAATTCTGAACCACGAATCTTTTACGTTAAATTAATATGCTAAATAATTTATTACTTAATTACATGAAAACCATTGATTATTAATAATATTTGATGTTCGCGAAAACGTGCTTTGTAATATGTTAGTCGAAATATAAGTTTTAATTTATAATCCTGTTAAAATCTGCAGTACATCTTTCCCTAAAATTATTTTAAATTTTTTTATTTTATTTTAACAGCACCAAACAATCGCCGCATTACGCTAAAATAATGTAAATATTTCAACATTTTGATCAGGTTTTTTTATTGTTATTGTTATTATCAATCAGCGCGTTACATTCGAAACAGAATCCGTAAGTAGGTACTTTCAACGTTTTCGGTAAAACACAATAAAAACCGAAGTGAATTCGAACACAAACGTTAAGACTGCGAAGACAATATAATAATAAATTGTTGCGAAAATGATGGAAAACTTTTTCGCCAGCGAAAAATGTTTGTAAACGTTTAAATTGTCTTTGGTCGATTGTTACACGTCATTACAATATAAACCGTTGTGTTCAAGGTTCTACTTTACAAACAAATATATAAATGTAATGTAAACACACGTTCGTGTATAATAACTGTTAATCAAAAGTGCAAGCGAGAGTTGGGTTTGTTCGAATCAAAAGTTTTGCGAAATCCATGTGCGCTTGTTTGATCATCTATACACAGCGACACAGGCTACGTATCGTTGTCTAAGACAAATAAAATAATCATTTATTGTAATATTTTATTTGTGTGGAGTAGAAAATATTGGAGAATTTCGTTTATTAGAATTATATATTCTTCTTCTGTGGTATTGCCATACATAGAATACGATAAGGGCAACTGATACGTTTTTAAGTTAAGAGCAACTGGTACATTTCCGTCAAAGTAGTTTGAAGAGAAATCGAAATAAAAAAAGGTGTTTGTTTGCTATACGGCTAATCGTTGATAAAAACCAAATTCAAATGACATATATTAAGGAAGATGTTTGTAAACATTTGTTCGCAGTCAATTCTGTAGTATTTATTTACGTGTAGATAAAACGCACATGGCACACCCATACCGTACAGCGTATTCAGCGATACAAACACACCTGTACACTCATTGTAACGTCAAATTCTTGAAAAAAAAAAAAGTACAATTGGCAAGTATATTTAACAACAAGTTAGACTCGTAGGCGCACATTTGATCTAAAACTAGGGAGTGCTAAGCATGTTCATCTCGAACCGATTCATAGAGAAATCCCCTTCCCACACCTTTTACATATACCTGAGACAAAATTGTTTAGTTTTACCATTTTATTATAGATTTAGCAATTTTCTAAAATATAACTAAACATCGTTGTTTGTTATCAACAAGCGACTGAACCGGTAGACGACAATCAAAAAAAATGGTAAACAGTATTCCAGCAATAAATACTGAAATCAATCTTGACCGTCATCAAATTCGTTACAAACGTGACAAACCGAAACATTCAACACTTAATTGCGTACGAGTACACACATATCCGTGACTTGATCAATGCAAACCGGAATAAACCCATTCCCACGAACGCGATACGAACCTACAATATTTTTACCCCGGAACAAACCCGGGGGTGCTAGTACTTCGGGTGTAAAGCGTAACCCGACGCCCCCCGCTCGGGCACCGATGAAAGCAGTGCGACACAGGGTACGAACAACCCGGGACGTATCACACGAACATTTCCGATCCGTGCCCATCATCAATTGGCAAGATTAGCAACTCCTGGAGTTGTCCTCCACGTTAGTTATCGTCTTAAACAACACCTGTTCGGCAACCTCTCGAGTGCGTCGAAAACTATCGATATCAGACCTATGCAGTGTGCTGCCCGTGTTAATACCGACAAGCGGAGGGCACGTGTATTCCCGAAACGCACAAGGGCCGGGACCCGGTTCTCCACTCGATCAATCGTTACGCTGCCCAGATAACCGTGCCGCTTCCCTCACCCGCCCGGAGTCCTACCGCACCACCGTACCGGTTCGCGCCGCGTCGGGGTTCGCGTGTCGTCTCGCCTTTAACCGTGACAGCCCCGACCCCCTCTCGAGAACGGAGTGCGGTGGCCGCGGCCTGGATGGACCCCGCACACCGATCGCAATGCGTACAATAACGTCGGGATTTTTCACGCTTAACCCTACTCGTGCGCGCGTGATCCGGGGCGACTTACCGAAAAAACAATTCCTCAACATTTTCCGAGGCCACTTGAAACTCAGGCCATGAGAATTGGAATCCAGGGCTGTGTCTCGCTGTTGACCCGACGACGAGGCGCGCTGCTGGTCACGGTGCGGTGGCGGCGACGACGGCCCAAAGTTGTTGTTGCTCACGTCGCGTCCCGTCACGCGTTCAACGCGGTCGCGGGCCTCTCCCCGGCCGCGGCGATGTCGCGAACGGTCAGTATCGCCGCGAGGTGGTCACCGACACGACCGCAACCGCGACGACGACCGCCGCCACCACCACCACCACCACCGCCGCCGCCGGCGACGACGACACCGACAACGGGTGTGCGATCGCGCGCGCCGTAAACGAAATCA